CAAGGTAGAAAACAAACTGTTCAAGGCGAGTGTTTTTTTGAATGAGCGACAGCCGAATTCACTGGAACATGAAGATCGCTCGGGATGAGAGCGCCGCAAAACTCTGCTGTAGTGACTGATGTGACTTTCCACTCAACGCATCGGAAAGGATATCAGAGGAAGCTCTTATTTTTTCACTCGCAAGGCGGCCGATGTAGCTTCTGAGGCTTGCTTTTCTGTGATGACCGGAGATCGCCATGATGAGCGAGCCGCGATGGACTTTTGCATGATCATATTCGCTCAGACACCGTTTTGATTAGTATGAATTTTAACAGTTATGTCAGTTTGGTTATATTTTTCATAATTTCTGTTTTGTTCTGTTTTATTTTTGAACATTGAACTTTATATACTATACGAGTGTTAGCTGTGTTTAATTTTTATTACCGTAAGTAAGTAAGCTTGCAATCTAACTGAGTGTGAAAATCTTTAAAACTCGGAACATCTATTTTGTTTTTCCTTTGAGGATTTTCGTATCTGCTCACATTTTAATAATGTAAATTGCGGCGCCTGGTATGTTTACAAACCTTTGTTTAGTTCTTCTGTTGCTACTTACTGGCTCGCTTGTTCCGAAATTTCACTTTCAATTATCGGAAAAAAGCTAAAAAGAAGTCCCGGAAAGGGTCGAACATGGTACAATTTGGCAGATGGCGTGACAGCTTTAGCTCAGCTCTATGCTCTATACTCTCACAGAGCACGCTCTTTCAACCAATGACAGCGCGCGCTATATCCAAACTTTATTATAATAATTAGCAAAGGTTACCGTGTCGCTCTGGAAAATCTCACGAGCAGTTGTAGCACTCGGTTCACTCTGACTCATTCGCTCTGTTTGATTCAATCTCTTAAAGTGTGGATGAACTGCTTAAAATGTCTAACTAGACTGAGATCGAGTTACATCTGTATTGTCTTACAACGCTGTATGCTACCGAATGGTTGATAAAAATGGATCTTGAAACATAGTGGCAGCGAAATAGGATAACGAATCCTCCGCCTACCACTTTCGGAGTCGAAAACAATTGAAATCATCTTGGTGTAGTAATGTCCGACTCGGAGCCACCACCTGGCTCTTCGCAACAGACCCTAACACAACTGGGAGTTGTGCAACACCCGCCTTTTGGCGCGATGGCCGGGATAATACCTCCTGGAAAACTAGTTACGATTGGGAATGTGGCGGACAACTGGAAAGTATGGAAACAAATGTGGGGCAACTACATGGTCATTGCTCAACTCGAGCTGAAACCGCCGGCGTACAAAGTCGCATTGTTTCTCCACTGTATCAGTGTTGATGCGTTAAAGATTTTTAACGGCTTCCAATTCGACACTCCAGACGATAGACATTACCTGGCAAAGATAATACAAAAGTTCGACGAATTCACCATCGGCGAACTGAACGAAACCTTTGAAAGGTACACTTTCAACTCCAGAAATCAACAGGAAAACGAAAGCATTGATGCTTATGTCACCGCCCTTCGCACACTAGCGAAAACATGCAATTTTTGTGACTGCATGCGTGATTCGATCATTCGCGACAGGATCGTCCTAGGCATTCAAGATCACCGCACTCGCAAACGGCTTCTACAAGAACGGTGTCTCACCCTGGCGAAGTGTATCGATCTTTGCAAGAGTCCTGAGGCAACAAAATTGCAATTGAAAACAATCTCGGGCGCCCAGAACGAAAATGTTCACGCTGTGCAAGATAAACACCCGCCTTCAAGCCGCCGTGATGACAAGTCTAGGAAAAGCCGCGCGGGGAAGACGAAGACCTGTAAATTTTGTGGCAAAGCACATCCTTTCGAAAAAGGAAAGTGTCCAGCGTGGGGCGCGAAATGTACGAAGTGCTGTGGCAGAAATCACTTCGCAACAACCCGCACTACTTCGACCAGAAAAGTTTACAACTTGAGAGATGAATCCTCCGATGACATCGACATGGAGTACATTACAAGCATTGTTGCACGACCGGACATGATACACACTGTTACGCAAGAACATGATTACCCAAGAGTAATCTACACTGAGATGCTTGTGGGCAAGGCAGAAGTGAAATTTCAAGTAGACAGCGGCGCCTCGGTGAATGTCATTTCCGCCGATCTTGTGGCTGATAAGAAGCTTGAGCCCACCACAAAGACACTACAAATGTGGAACGACACAACACTAAAGCCACTGGGTTCCTTTCGATTAATTCTTCACAATCCAAAGAATAAGAAGAAGTTCTCGGTGGAATTCCTTGTCGTTGATAGACAACTGACCCCACTCATTGGAGCAAAGGCAGCTCAACAGATGGGCCTAATTACTGTCAACACTCAAAACTTCACGATCGCAAAACCACCTGAACGATCAAGGGCAAAGGTTAAGAGCGTGCAGACGGCTGACGAAATAGTAGCGGCCTACCCAGAGGTGTTCCAAAGAGAGCTAGGAGCACTACCAGGAACAGTTCACCTTGAAGTCGAACAAGGCGCAACTCCCGTCGTCGCACCTCCACGCCGTGTCCCAACGTCACTCAAAGAGAAACTGAGGAAAGAACTGGATCGACTACAGCAATTGGAGGTCATAGTTCCAATCGATGAACCCACTCCATGGGTTAGCAGTCTTGCCGTGGCTGTGAAGAAATCTGGAGCGCTGAGAATCTGTATCGACCCCAGGCCACTTAACACCGCCCTGAGGAGAGAAAGATATCAACTTCCTGTACTTGAGGACATACTCCCGGAGCTCTCAAAAGCAAAAGTATTCTCGACAGTTGACCTCAAGTCGGAATACTGGCACTGTGTCCTTGCCCCTGAGTCCAGCGTACTCACGACCTTCGCAACACCCTACGGAAGGTACAGATGGATTCGTTTGCCATTCGGTCTCTCCGCCTCGTCCGAGATTTTCCAGAAGCACTTAACTCACGCACTGGAAAGCTTACCTGGTATTCTGTGCATCGCGGACGACATCCTCATTTATGACACTGGAGAGACCGACGAAGAAGCCACTGCAAACCACGACAGGAGTTTACGAGATCTCCTACAAAGGTGCAAGAACCGCGGCATTGTCCTTAACCCAGACAAGATGGAGCTGAGGATGAGCGAGGTAAATTTCATGGGGCATCTCCTGACGAACAAGGGCCTGAAGCCTGATCCTGCCAAAGTAGAGGCGATCACAAAATTGCCGAAGCCACAAGATGTGGAGGGCGTTCAGCGCCTCAACGGATTTGTCAATTATCTAGCCAAGTTCCTTCCGAAACTGTCTGAAGTCATGGAACCGATTCGTCGCCTGACTCGGAAGGACGCTCCATGGAACTGGTCTTCGGAACAAGACCAAGCGTTTGCAAACGTGCAGCGGCTAGTAACAGAAGCGCCTGTTCTACGTTACTACGACCCTTCCCTAGACCTCACCATACAGTGTGATGCGAGTCAGAGTGGCCTTGGTGTAGCATTACTTCAGAACAGCAAGCCTATAGAGTACGCAAGTCGCTCCCTTACCGACACAGAAACCCGTTATGCTCAAATAGAGAAAGAGATGCTGGCGATTGTCTTCTCTCATGAGCGTTTCAACCAGTATACATTTGGTCGACATGTACACATCGAAAGTGATCACAAGCCACTGGAGATGATTCTACAGAAACCACTCGCTCGTGCGCCTCGACGCCTCCAGTTAATGATGATGAGGTTACAGAAATACGATTTCACTGTGCACTATGAGCGTGGCGAGAACATGCATTTGGCCGACATGCTGTCAAGGGCTTACCTGCCCTAGAACGGTAAAGAAGTAGATGACTTCGAATCAGTCAACATGGTCCGTTATCTACCCATATCTGACCAACGTTTAGACGAAATAAGAGCAGACACCCGGAAGGACTAGTGTCTGCGAGAGTTGTCAGATACTATTCTCGTAGGATGGCCTGAGAAGAAGGAGCATGCTCCAGCACTGACACACCCTTACTTTAGCATGCGCGACGAACTGACCGTACATGGACTGGTTTTCAAAGGGAATTCCGTTGTGACACCAAAGAGCCTCCGCGCAGATATGAAGCTGAAGATTCACTCGTCCCACCTTGGAATAGAGGCGTGTCTGAGGCGTGCCCGTGAATGTATCTACTGGCCAGGCATGTCTGCGGAAATGAAGCACCACATCTCCGACTGTGAAATATGTAGAGAACTACAGCACCACACACCCAAAGGAGACACTAATGTCCCACGAGGTCCCATCCCGTCCTTGGGAGAAGATCGCCACAGACATATTTACTCTTGATGGCAAAGACTACCTGGTCACCATAGACTACTATAGCAATTTCTGGGAGGTGGACAGGTTGCCGAACACTAAAGCCAGCACCACCATTCTGAAGCTAAAGAGTCACTTTACTCGCTATGGTATACCTGATCAAGTGATCAGTGACAATTGGGCCACAGTTTACAAGTGACGAATTCGCTGAATTCTTCAGAAAATAGGATTTTGAGCACCTTACCAGTAGCCCTGGAAATAGCAAAGCCAATGGCAAGGCCGAGTCTGGGGTGAAGACAGTCAAGTGCATTCTGAAGAAATCAATTAGGGCTGGAACCTACCCATACCTCGCTGTACTCGACTATAGAAACACGCCGACACAAGGGATGACGACCAGCCCAGCACAACGTCTGATGAGCAGAAGGACCAAAACACTCCTTCCTACCACTCAAAGCCTACTACTACCCAGGACCATAAACCTGGAAGTGGAAAAGAAAGAGCTGCGACAGCGCCAGCAGGCCCAAGCCAAGTGCTACAACCGGTCCGCAAAGGATTTACCCAGTTTGTCTGAAGGCGATGTTGTTAGAATGAAGCCATTCAAACTTGGAGATAAGTCTTGGCGCAAGGCCAAAGTCACTGCAAGACTCGACGAGCGATCATACACCGTTGGGACGGACAACGGAGCAGTCTACCGCAGAAACCGACAGCACCTGCGGAAAACGTCTGAACCACCAGTTGAACCCACCATCACAGCGCCAGAACCGGATATGGCCAGTGCAGATGAACAGGCGACCACAACCGCAGCGTCTACCGCTGACCAGAGCAATGCTCCTCACGAACCACACACTGAAGAGGTGACTGTTCCGGAACAATGTCGGAGGTCAGAGCGAGTCAGGAGGAGCCCAGCATACCTCAGGGACTATATCCGTGACTAGACTCGTGACTTTAAATCCTTCTTCGCGGTTATCATAGGGTTCAGTGTTCTCGTTTACCGATCCTCTCATGTCGAACTCACCAGCTGATAGATTTTGTCCTATGGCATTGATTCTGAACTGAACTGACATTGACACTTTTATTGGTTTATTTTCTTTTTTTTTTTTTCTTTTCTTTCTTTCTTTTCCTCTTTTTTCGAGCTTTTCTTCACAAAAAAAAAAAGGGAGGATGTTACAATATGTACGTGATTACATGCGCCATCAATGTCTAACTAGACTGAGATCGAGTTACATCTGTGTTGCCTTACAACGCTGTATGCTACCGAATGGTTGATAAAAACGGATCTCTAAACAGATATAAACATAATAGCCCTCTACTTACAAGAAAAGTCGGCTTTATTAACTAATTAAAATAAAAGGATCGATAATCCCCGAATAAAAATTGTAATATGCGTTGGCGCCAAGGCTCACAATTCAATGCATTGAATTATTACAAAAACAACAATGAACGTACTTTTCGCTAACAAAATTCTCAGTAATTGACTTTGTCCTTACCGACAGAAAAGAAATATTTCACGCAAAATGCCAAAATCAGCTGGTGGCAAATCTTCCAGCTCGACTCCAGCAGTCGATTTTTGTTCTAAGCCGCGAGAAATATCATTACCAAAGCTCGGTTTTTCTTTCCGTATTTTGGTTTTCTTCCCATTCTAGAAAATTTTGAACGTCACTTTCTGTAAACGATACGGATTTTTCAGTAGCCACCATCCGCGAAAATTCCAACAAACGACCTTGGATTGAGAATGGTGAAGGCTGTATTGTTCATTCATCAACCTGACCGAGTGGCGAGGAAGGCGAGTGACGTGTTAGCAGCTGATTGGCGATATCAAACACACGTGGAAAAATATCGCATCTTTTCACGTGTGTTGTTACGGCTTTTCTCGGGGCTGGAAATCCTAGTATAACATCATAGTTTATGTGATAAATTATGTTATTATTCATCGTGGCGAATAACTTGATAGATATTTAATCGTTTGTCTCACGGCAAAGAGTCAGGCGACCAATTCATCTTGATAGCCTGACCATATCTTGAGATAAACGATAAAACATCTATCAAATGTTTTAGTTCTTGTAAAAAGTTGATGTAATTACAAAACATGACAATTAGATTGTCTAACATACTTAATAATTGAGATTACTCAAATGAGATTTAACCTTTACAATCTATAGACGTTCTCTTCCTTTAATCAAGCAGAAATCAGGCTGAAGCGGATAAAAAAGCCATTGATGATCTTGTCTGTGAAAGGGACATCCTTAACCAGGTACTTTACCCTTGTCAATTTTACTCTTAATCTGAGCTTGGGAGTTTTGGGTTTTGGTTTTTAGAGGAGGATGTTATATCTAATATTTGCTTTCATTCTTGTTTATTGATCTTTTAAAAAGTGTTAAATTTCTGTTATAACCTTAGGGACGTTGACGTTTGATTAAAAGGGAATATGGATTTTGAATGAAACATCGTTCTTTTTATGAAAAAGATCATCGCTTAGATAATTTTCCTTAGGTAGGCTAAAAACTAACAATTTAGTTTGAGCTACATTGAATAAAATTTACGAGGGAAAAGAAATATGCATTTACTTCGTGATAGAACAAATAAGTAAAGAATTGATAGATTGATATGATTGATAGACTGATATGCCTCGCGGCATTTGAATCCTTGTGAGTTCAAATGGTTTTTTTTTTTTTTGCATTTTTATAAGGTTCAAGAGTCGTCCTTTACCATTTTATGGTAAATTGAGCAAACACTAGTTCTATCCTGTATGCTATGGAATCAGGTGGTTCATGTTGCAGGACCTCATCCTGTTTGCTGCGTTATGAATCCACTTGGGGTATCGCCATTCCCCCTGGATCGAATGTTTGTCCATTGCAGGTTCCCCTGCTCCCACTCCTTCCCTGGACTGACTGCTAGTCCATTACATGTTACTCTCCTCCCACCCCACCCTTAGGAGGTCTTAGCCCCCTACGGCATCGCAATTTTTCTCATCCTACGTTATCGAGTACAATTAATAAGAGAGAGGAGTTGAGTTTCTCTGTGTTCTTAAATACACACAGGAGGAGATGGAAGCAAAAGAAAATCAAAGTGTTCTGTGAGCAAACTCGTGAATTGACAAATGATTTTTTGGATTATGTTTAATGTTATTTGGTTGAGGGAATTTTGTGGTTGATTGTCATATCTAGAGTACGAGCAGTAGTTCAGTGTTCGCTAATGTAGCAAAGAAACAAAGTAACGTTGGGATAAGAAGGTATTACAATTGAAATGATCATGCTATTACATTTGACAAGGGTGGATGATGTCATGTGTTTTAAACGTATATCATTTTTGTTTCTGGTTCAAAAGAAAAGGTTGGAAGTAAATGGGTGAAAAGTCAAATTTACTGTCTATCATTGTAAATATTAGAAAACCAAGGCAATACTGTCTTAATGAAAACATTAACGATTCTCTCTTTATCAAATGAGACAAACGGGAACGAGTTTTGAGTGATATAACTAAGCCAAGAGTGCCACCGTCATTTTGGATCTCCGCCTGGGTAGATTTTAGTCACGTGCTAGGCAACGTGTAATCAATAACAAGATAGAATTTCATTTCAGGCCTATTTATCAACTTTGTGGTGTATAACTTCGCATTTTAGTACGTAATATGTATTTTGTATCTTCAAATTGTCTTTAAACTTAAAAGAAAATTGTTCTTTAAAAATTCAATGAAAATCGGTAGCTAAAATTGTTTGTTTAGGTGTTATTTGATTTTCGTGTTAACTTGTAATTTCGTCAGTTGCCGGCATCTTTTGTTGCTTCACGCAGGAAAAACTCACGATATGTAACGTAATGATCGATTTTGTCCTCAATCTCACGCCATAACAGAAAAAGCTTTTGAACATCTGTAAACTCCGAGCGCTTCGCAATTTTATGAAAAACAAATGTTGTTCTGTTATTTCAGTGTGAATCCTTGCATGCCTAATAGTCGCTGGCGCCGCTTGTTGAAACTAAAACGAAAAAAAAGAACTCTTTTAAGATTATCATTGGCTTCTTTTTCACCCCACCACTATTCTTAGCAACAAAGGTCGCCATTTCTTTTGTTTATTGCTCGCCAAAAACTATCAAATGCACTCAAAAGCCTAAAATCGAAAAAGAGTTTACAGGAATCGACCAATCGAGCGAGCGAGCGAGTGCCATTCCCAAGATCGTATCTACAACTCGCTCTTGCGCATGCGCGCAATTCACGAGTTAAAAATGAAAATGTAAGTACTAGAGGTTGTCTCATTCGTTGCATTAGCACCGTGCTTTTAAAGTGCTTTCATGTCTCCCGATCTTATTGCAAATGTATAAGCTAGGGAGTTATACTTGAGTCAACTTAAGGTTAATATTTGCTTTTCCCTAAAAAACGCTAAAATGGCTAAACAACAGCTAAGTCTGTCTTGGAATCAAATTTTGGTACCGCAAGCTGTCGGATTATTCGCAAACAATCAATTATCAATCAATCAATTTGGGAAGTTATAACCTCTTCCCTTATTTTAGACCCTGCATCACCCCTTTGCCTTTCCTCGTAATATTTAATTCCTCGTTAAAAATTAATACTTCATCTAGAATTAGTAAGAGCCATAAACATTTCTATTTGCTGGAAAGTATTTGGTTCACATACTTTACCAATTTTAAAGTATTCCCTAACGCTATAAGTGTTAAGGTAAAATGACACGAAAGGACATTTTGTTTGTCGCCGTGAGGTGATATCATAGAGTGCTGTAAATTTTCTCTCTTTTTTTACAGAGAATTTAAGAAATCAGAAAGAAGCTTCGCCATCTATCGCCTGGAGGTAAAATAATTGTAATTGTGCATTTCGTACGTAGAACGCGTCATCTGGTTGGTGAATCTGCTTTCCAAGCTAATGTATTAAGCGGAATCAAGTGACAAACATTTATATCTTTGTATTTACGGGCGAAATATTTGAGTAAGATTATTGTCTTACTGAAACGATTGGAAACATGCTGTTGAACTTAAAGGTGTCCATCAAGTTTTGAATCTTTTCGCGCCGTAAAAGTGAAAGAGCTCGTCCAAATATCTTTAAACTACTCTTTAAACAAAAAGATAAGTAGCTATAGAAGTTTTACATGCCATGACAACCTCTTTTAACATCCTTCACCCATGTTTGACGAAAATCCCTCTAATTTTTTACTTATAAGCGTAAGTAGGTAGCTCTTGCTGAGACAACTCGTCCTACAATCCTCTGACATCATCTTAACACATTACTTTAAGTACTTGAAACTCCCAAGGATGGGCATTCTGATAGGAATGCTAATACTATTTACACGGTCTTCACATAAACAACTGGAACAATATCAACATCCCGTTACACTTAAAACAGCAAGCAATCCAAATGTTATACCATTATCACTAACAAGCACTGCGTTTCACTTTTGCTCAGGTAAAAAGAAATCAAGAAAAAAGAAAAAAGGCTGGACATATTTGAATGTCTTTACTTACTTCTTTATTTTCTTTTATTACTAATTTCAATTACTTTTTTACAATGTACTGCAATTCTTCATTCTCTTTTGCAATTTTTTAACGCTTTTCCTACGATCTTTTTATCTTAAACGGTACTTTCTTTTGTTCGGTTTCGAGTTTAGAAATTTTTGTTATTACTGGTGTCAATTATATTTATGTGACGTGCTGCAACATTTCATTCTCTTTTGCCATTTCTTCATGCTCTTCCTATGATCTTTTATCTTAGACAGTACCTTTCTTTTGCTTGGGTTCAGTTTTGGAAGTTTTTTTTATTACTGATGTCAGTTAAATTTATACGACGCGCTGCAATTTTCCATTCTCGTGGTATTTAATTCCTTTCGAAATTTTATATAATGCTCTACAATCTTTTTATCTTAGAAAATACCTTTCTTTTATTTAGTTTCGGTTTTAGAAGTTTTTTATTACTGACGTCAATTATATTTAGTTATTATGAATATTAATATAAGATTAAAATAGACTTTGATCATTTTGACTTCTTAAACAAATTGGGCTTCAACAATTGAAGGTAGTTCAACCATTGCATTATTTCAAGCAGTTTAGCTCTCTTCCCTAGTTTCACTATTTAAGCAGTTCAACCATTTAAGCCAGTTATCCATTTTTTCCAGGTTAATTATTGAACCTAGTATGGCAATTCGAACAACTTTAACCAATTAAGAAAGACTATGCAATTTGCGCAGTTTAACTGTCTTAGTTACCCTGACCATTTAACGAGATTAGCCAATTAAGCTTGATTGTGAAGTTGGTGAAGTTGATCCTATCACCCTAGTTATGCATTTTGTCGGGTTGAACCAATTAACTAGTTTGATTATTTAACCATTATAATCAGTTAAACTAGATTGAGAAGTTTGTGCAGTTGAACCTACTAAGCTAATTAGGCATTTTGTCCTCTTCAACAATTGAAGCTAGTTTGAACATTTGAGCTTGTTTATCCCGTTAAGATAGATTGTGGAATTTGTGCAGTTAAGTTATTTTGGATAGTCTTACTAACTAGTAAAATAGTCAAATCACCGAAGATAGCTAAATACACAACTTAAATAATCTGTCTCCGTTGCTTTCAGTAGTTCAAATGATCAAACTGGCTTCAGTGGCGTAACTAAAAAAATGCATAACTAGCTTAGTCACTTCAACTACACAATCTAAACAATCTAGCTGAAATGGTTTAAGCGGTTAACTAGTCAAAGGTCAACTGAGAAAAATTGCACAATCTTTCTCAATTGGTTGGAGTACTTAAATGGTCATTTAAGATAGCCGAACTATTTAATTGATTCGACCTGTTTAATAGTCAAACCACGGAAGAGAGTTAAACTGCACAAATTGCAAAATCTTTCTTAATTGGTTTAAGTAGTTGAAATGGTTCAACTGCACAAGTAGCTCAGCTGCACAAATGCATAACCAGCTTAAATGATTCTACTGCATAAACTGCACAATCTAGCTTTCGTGGTTGAACTAGTTAAGATAGCAGTAAAGAACTTGGGCCTTTTAACGCGTATTTACCGGATATCAGTGATTTTGTATTGTTATCATTTCACGGTAATTTTCCGCTGGCTTTTTCATATAATAGTTCTTATTTCCTGGAATCCATATGCTATTCTAAATCTTGGAAACTTTTTGATTTTTATCTAAAGTATTGTTATGCATGGAATCTCAGGAAATATATTCAGATGATAATAGTTATCATAGTGGTCAAGATAGTGATTATGTATATGATGGTCATGACTATTATTCAGATGGTGGTAATAGTTATGACTGAAGAAATGTAAAATGGTTTCCGTGTTTACATAGCCTGATGTAAACACGCGGGAGGTTGGGAGAACACGAGATAAGCGTAGGAAACCTCGACGCGAAGCGGAGTGGTTTCCAACTTATCGAGACTTCATCAGATATAAAGGTGTTAAACTATGATACTTGTGTAGATATACCAATGATCTGGTACGATTGGCAGATTTACGAGTTAATACCCTGGAAACTGTCTCAATACTATTTGTGGCTGATGTGTCAACTGATGAATTGGCAATAGATGCAGAGGGAAAGCTAATTCAAATACCACTGTATATTCACCAGTTGTAAGTTCGTACATGCTTTGCGCTTTGCAAATGGAGTTTAATGAAAGGCTTGATTAATTAATTTTACCCCGGTAATGTCATTTTCATCACTGAACTGCCCACTTTTATTTCATTATATATGAAAATGTGTCTTACAACAAACAACTACCAACAAATAGATTTAATCTGTTATTAATATACTTCTAATAATTAGTAGTCATAAGTGTATTATTATTGTTGATAGTTGCACTGACAAAATTAACACCAGCAGCATGTTTACTTTCATGTGCCTGTGCCTTTAATCTAAATTAATCATATTTCTGTTCTTCATATTCAAATTACCAGTCAT